ACGCACGCACGCATGCACGCGCGCGCACACACACAAACACACAGCACACACGAATGCATGCATGCATGCATGCACACCATGGGACTACTTACGTGAGCACAGAGCGCCGTGTCACGAAAACCTTGTCCGGCAAGTCACCTTTCTTTCTCCTCCTGAAAGCAAAGAAACAATAGAACAGTGAGGGTCAGCTGTGATTATGTGTCAAAATTAGTCGCTGTGACACGACAACAGTAATTTGAAGACGAGTTGGAGTTTGAGTAAAGAGAAGCACGTCGAAAAAGCTACGGTCATTGAGCGAACGGAAAAGGGCATGACAGAAAGACAGAAACAGTAGAGGAAAAGAAAAAAAAGTAGGATCTACCACCATGTAGCCACCCACTGGAGTAATGGATAAACAAATTAAATGTGTTTGTTTGTTTGAGAAAAGAGAAGCACATCGACAAAATAATGGTTATTCAGTGCTGGGATAAAGTAAGAGGGGAAAGTAAAAAAGTATGACCTACCAGTGGCGCCCTCCAACCACCCACATAAATAAACAAAACAGTCGGACGGAAATAACAGACGGGCAATAAAGAAGTAGAACCTACCAAAGGCACCATAGGTTTTGTTTATTTGTTTGTCTATTTGTGTGTTTGTTTGTTCTGTTTGATTGGGTAAAGAGAAGATCATCAACACAATATTGGTCATTTAGTGCTGGAGGAAAGTATGACGGACAGACAGAAATAACAGAGGGGAAAGTAAAGAAGTAGGACCTACCAGTAGCGCCCTCCAACCACCCGCACGGCACCATCCAGCCGTCTTCTCAACTACGAGTGCCCAAAAAGAGAACCGACAGAAGAAGAAAAAAAAGACTGACCACAAGTGAATTAACAGCTAGTACTTTAGAGTTTCGTTTGGCTTAAGTTCAGGTTTTACAGCACCACTTGCAACACAAATAGGCTAGTATTTAGAACCCTCTCATCTGCCACACGCCATACATATTATAATGTATTCTTATCTGTGTTTACTTAACTACAAGCATTATATTATAATTCGATCAGGGTTTGGGTTTTTTTTAATTTCTGAGTGAGGTTATGAAAAAAAAGAAAAGAAAAAAGTACTTTCAACGATGGAACAACTTAACTGGTCCTTATGCTAACAAAAGGAGAGACCTTTCTTATTTTGTCATTGTTCATAGAACGCCCTACAAGAGATATCATTTAGAAGCCCAGCCTCGCACCTAGAGTATTGGGGTCAATATTCTACTAAACCATAACACCCACAGTCAACACATGGGCACCGAGCACAAGAAATAAGAGAAAACTGCGGTAACAACAAGAGAGTACAGATATAGGAGGGTTTTTTAAAGTATAGGCATGTGAGCAGTACCACAAAAGCCTAGAAGGTGTGCGCCTCCTACCCCA